AAAAAGTCATAGTATAGTAAGGCATAAAAAGTCATAGTATAGTAAGGCATAAAAAGTCATAAAAACGTCATAATATAATAAGGCATAAAAAGTCATAAAAACGTCATAGTATAGTAAGGCATAAAAAGTCATAGTATAGTAAGGCATAAAAAGTCATAAAAACGTCATAATATTTTAAGGCATAAAAAGTCATAAAAACGACATAGTATAGTAAGGCATAAAAAGTCATAAAAACGTCATAATATAATAAGGCATAAAATGTCCTAAAAACGACATAGTATAGTAAGGCATGAAAAGTCAAAATATAATATGGCATAAAAAGTCATAAAAACTACATAGCATAGTTAAGCATAAAAACGACATAGTATAGTAAAGCATAAAAAGTCATAAAAATGTCATAGTACAGCANCATAAAAACAACATAGTACAGTAAGGCATAAAAAGTGATAGGATAGTAAGGCATAAAAAGTCATAAAAACGACACAGTATAGTAAGAAATAAAAAAGTCATAGTATAATAAGGCATAGCAAGTCATAAAAACGTCATAGTATAGTAAGGCATAAAAAGTCATAGTATAGTAAGGCATAAAAAGTCATAAAAACGTCATAATATTTTAAGGCATAAAAAGTCATAAAAACAACATAGTATAGTAAGGCATAAAAAGTCATAGTATAGTAAGGCATAAAAAATTCATAAATACGTCATAATATTTTAAGGCAATAAAAGTCATGAAAAGGACATAGTATAGTAAGGCATAAAAAGTCATAGTATAGTAAGGCATAGAAAGTCATAAAAATAACATAGTATAGTAAGACATAAAAAGTCATTAAAACGTCATAATATTTTAAGGCATAAAAAGTCATAAAAACGACATAGTATAGTATGGCATAAAATGTCATATTATAGTAAGGCATAAAAAGTCATAAAAACGTCATAGTATAGCAAGGCATAAAAACTCATAAAAACGACATAGTATAGTAAAGCATAAAAAGTCATAGTATAGTAAGGCATAAAAAGTCATAAAAATGTCATAATATAATAAGGCATAAAAAGTCATAAAATAATAGGGTATAAAAAGTAATAAAAACGTCATAGTATAGCAAGGCATAAAAAGTCATAAAAACGTCATAGTATAGTAAGGCATAAAAAGTCATAAAAACGTCATAGTATAGTAAGGCATAAAAAGTCATAAAAACGACACAGTATAGTAAGTAATAAAAAAGTCATAGTATAATAAGGCATAGCAAGTCATAAAAACGTCATAGTATAGTAAGGCATAAAAAGTCATAAAAACGACACAGTATAGTAAGTAATAAAAAAGTCATAGTATAATAAGGCATAGCAAGTCATAAAAACGTCATAGTATAGTAAGGCATAAAAAGTCATAAAAACGACACAGTATAGTAAGTAATAAAAAAGTCATAGTATAATAAGGCATAGCAAGTCATAAAAACGTCATAGTATAGTAAGGCATAAAAAGTCATAAAAACGACACAGTATAGTAAGTAATAAAAAAGTCATAGTATAATAAGGCATAGCAAGTCATAAAAACGTCATAGTATAGTAAGGCATAAAAAGTCATAAAAACGACACAGTATAGTAAGTAATAAAAAAGTCATAGTATAATAAGGCATAGCAAGTCATAAAAACGTCATAGTATAGTAAGGCATAAAAAGTCATAAAAACGACACAGTATAGTAAGTAATAAAAAAGTCATAGTATAATAAGGCATAGCAAGTCATAAAAACGTCATAGTATAGTAAGGCATAAAAAGTCATAAAAACGACACAGTATAGTAAGTAATAAAAAAGTCATAGTATAATAAGGCATAGCAAGTCATAAAAACGTCATAGTATAGTAAGGCATAAAAAGTCATAAAAACGACACAGTATAGTAAGTAATAAAAAAGTCATAGTATAATAAGGCATAGCAAGTCATAAAAACGTCATAGTATAGTAAGGCATAAAAAGTCATAAAAACGACACAGTATAGTAAGTAATAAAAAAGTCATAGTATAATAAGGCATAGCAAGTCATAAAAACGTCATAGTATAGTAAGGCATAAAAAGTCATAAAAACGACACAGTATAGTAAGTAATAAAAAAGTCATAGTATAATAAGGCATAGCAAGTCATAAAAACGTCATAGTATAGTAAGGCATAAAAAGTCATAAAAACGACACAGTATAGTAAGAAATAAAA